GCTAGCAAAACAAATCGCAGAATTTAACATTCACTCCTCTAGTCCTTGGGGGATCTCTGAGGTTTGGTTGTGCTAAACCCTTCTCCCTTCTTGGTACTGACCTAGTTGGGTAATGAAATGTCTGCAAGGAAAGAAGCTTAGAAGAGCACCAGAGACCCCACAGTCTTCCTCCTCCTCTCTGCAACCCCCCCCCCTTTCCTTCTAACACTGATAATGTTACCTAGCTGGGTAATAAAACGTCTGCAAGAAAACAACCAGCCAAGCTCAGAAAGAATCAGTTTTCCTATCTCTATTTTGACTTTGTAGATTTTTTTTTTGGGGGGGGGGGGGGGGGGGAGGGATAGAAAATCTTTGTAGCAGAGCTGCTTCACTTTCAGAACTGAGTAGAAACGTGATTGAATGGAGCGGCATAGAGTTCAGGGGTCTCTGGGGAAAGAGGTGTCCCGTTACTTTGCCAACTCTCTGTGCCCCTCAACTGCTTTTCCACACCCCAGTACAAAAAACACACCCCCATCTCCCCCTCTAGGTTGCCAACGCCAAAACACAACGCGCTGTGGGAGTGCTGATCTATCCAGATCCCGCTGACTACAGTAACCTTGGACCAACCGAGGCTCTCTTTGGACACGTGAGTTTTTTTGGGTTGTTTTTTTTTTTATAAAAACCGTTTCCTTGTCCGTGAACTCCCCATGCCTCCCTTTGAAGCAGAAGTCTCCCAACTTTTTAAGAGCCATGGACTACCACTCCCAGAATTCCCCAGCCAGCCACCTTAAAAAGGGAGGGAGTCACCCGGTCGTTAAGCGGATCTGGCTTCCCCAGGGATTTTGCTCGTCGGAAGCTCGCGAAAAGGCGGGATTACATGACCCCTCCCAGAACATTGCAACGGTCATAAGTACATGCCAGTTGCCAAAGCGTCCGAATTTGGATCGTGTGACCCTGGGGAGGCTGCAATGGTCGTACGTGTGAAAAAAAAAAAAGTCCCTCCGTCACTTTTCAGTGCCGTTGTAACTTCGAACAGTCACTAAATGAATGGTTGTAAGTCGAGGGCTACCTGTAGACCAGACCTGAGCTGGTGGCATGAAGGGGACATGGGAAGGAAACTCTCAATTGATGCATTTAGTGCTTTTGTGGTGCGTCGTCTTCTTCTTTCTGAAATTCTCCTTTTGTCTTGCAGGCTCATCTTGGTACCGGTGACCCTTATACCCCTGGGTTCCCTTCTTTCAACCACATTCAGTTCACCCCTGTCAAGTCTTCGGCCCTCCCTGGCATCCCCGTCGCAAGTATTTCGAGCTCGGCCGCACGACAATTAGCCAGGTAACTGCTCCACCTGTTTTCAAACTTCTTGCCTGTTAGATTTGAGGGTTGCTGGCAGCGAGACCGATAAAGCTGCGTTATTTCAACCGTTGTCCTCTCCCTCTCTGCACGAGAACCAGAAAACCAAGCTGAGAAAGAGGAATTTCCACTGTGCAAACTTGTTGTTAGTGACAGAGGCAGCTGCAGCACAACCGTCGTCATTTTCCTGGTTGGGGGGGGGGGGGGAATAATAAAATAAATTGCCTTAAAAGAATAAGGACAATAGCAATAGTGCTTAGACTTACATAGCGCTTCACAGGGCTTTCCAGCCCTTCTCTTAAGCAGTTTACAGAGTCAGCATCCTGCCCTCAACAATCTGGCTCCTCATTTTACCAATATTAGGATGATGGAAGGCTGAGTCAACCTTGAGCTGGTCGGGATCGAGCTCCTGGGAGCGGGCTGAATTAGCCTGCAGTACTAGACTATAACCACTAAGGAAGGAAGGAAGGAAGGAGATGGGAATGAGAAGAAGGGAGGAAAAGGAAGGAGCAGGAAGGAAGGAAGGGAGATGAGAATGAGAAGGATGAAAGAAGGATGCATGGGTGTGAGGAGAGGAAAGAAGGAAGGAAGGAGATGGGAATGAGAAGGTGAAAGAAGGATGCATGGATGGGAGGAGAAGGAAGGAAGAGGAAGGAGAAGGGAGGAAGGAGATGGGGCTGAGAAGAGGGGAGGAAGAGGAAGGAGAAGAAAGGAAGAGAGATGAGAAAGAAGGATGCATGGATGGGAAGAGAAGAAGGAAGGAAGGAAGGAAGAGTAATAGACTTACATATCACTTCACAGTGCTTTATGGCCCTCTCTAAGTGGTTTACAGAGTCAGCCTCCTGCCCCCAACAATCTGGGTCCTCATTTACTGGCCTTGGAAGGACGGAAGGCTGAGTCAACCTTGAGCTGGTCAGGATCAACTAACTATTGGCATTGGACAGAGTTATCCTACAATGCTGCGTTCTAGGGAAGGGAAAAGAAAAGAAAAGCAGTAGCACTTAAACTTATATACTGCTTCACAGAGCTTTACAGCCTTCTCTCTAAGCAGTTTACAGAGCCAGCCTCTTGCCCCCAACAATCTGGGTTCTCATTTTACCCACCTCAGAAGGACAGAAGGCTGAGTCCACCTTGAGCCTGGTGGGATTTGAACTGCCAAATTGCAGGCAGCTGGTAGTCAGAAGTAGCCTAAAGTACAGCACTCTAACCACTGCACCGTGGCAGCTCTCCACAATGCAGGTAGTCCTTGACTTAATGACCACAATTGAGCCCCAAATTCCTGTTGCTAAGTGAGATAGTTAAGTGAGCTTTGCTCCAGTTTACGACCTTTCTTGCCCAGTTGTTAAGCGAATCACGGCAGTTATAAAGTTAGTCACACAATTGTTAAGTGACTCTGCCTTCCCCATTGCTTGTCAGAAGGTCACAAAAGCAGCTCCCGGGACACTGCAACCGTCATAAATAGGAACCAGTTGCCAAATGTCTGAATTTTGATCACATGACCAAGGGTGATCAAACTTGTAGCGATTGCAAGTGTGAAAAGGGTCATAAGTCACTTTTTTTCAATTCCGTTAAGACTTTGAACGGTCACTAAATGAATAGTTATAAGCTGAGAGCTCCCTGTGTCCTGTTCCTTGAAATAACAAGAAATAGAAATTTTGTGTTAAAATTGTGACAGTGTCAGGGTTCCAGAAAACCTCCACTCCAAACAACAACTCCCAAGACAGACCATCATCTCAAAAGTTCTGTTTTAATTGGATAGTAAACTGGCACAACTGGGGAATCCCAAATCTGAAAGTTCGGGCTTCCTCGCAATAAGTAAAAATTACAAAATTCAACCCCCTGCACCCAACATCGCATCACGTGCCCCATCCGCCCCAACTTGAGACTTCCCCTCACTTAGGCGCAAAACAACATGACCTTGATTTAGAAAAAGAATGTTGTTATGTCTAACTACATACACTCCAAGAAATTCCACCCCTCCCAGGCTCAAAATGTGGCAGCATGGGAGCATCTGGTCTCAATATGGCTCCCAAAGCCGACCGACAGTTTTGAAGGTGCCCGAGCATGTCATGGGATGTTGGAGAAGTGCACCTCAGGTAACATAAGAGTAATGCGTTCCGGTTCTGCTTTCAGCATTCTGGACGGGTCAGACTGTCCCACCACCTGGCAATACACAGTCTTTCACAAGTGTGGTACTTCTCCGACGGGAACAAACGTGAGGATCAATGTTAGCAACCCCCTGGTAGAGAAGAAAATCCTGAACATCTTCGGCGTGATTAAAGGTTTTGTGGAACCAGGTGAGCATACGCCCCCTCGGGCCATGGAGTTTGGAAGAAGGTTGGGTCTGAGTGGGAATGGGACAACCCTCCACAGCCAACTTGCTGTGGCCAACTCGTCATGGCCAACTCACTGCAGGACAAGTTTAACAATTCTGTTTCATTATTTCAAATAAATGTTATTTTAATTTTTGCCATTCCCATTTCATTCTGGTCCTGTCTTTTGCATCCTTTAATGATTCTGTTCCACCATTTCTTTGGTATTAGTGCAACTCTTAAGTGTGTTAGTCAGTTGTCCTGCAGTGAGTTGGCCGTGGCACATTGTCATAGATCTGGTCTGAGCACAGCTTCCTTGGCATCCTTTCTGGTCCTTTGTGGATCTCCTGGTTGGAGGGGGGGCGGACACTGAGGGACCCCAAATCAAAACATCCTCAAAGCCTCTCCTGAGATATTCGTGTCGTGCCGTTGTTGTAGTCAGATTCTGAGGGGGGAGATTGAGCAGCTGACAGGGAGTGGGAGTGTGACTCCGGTGGCTGTAGAAGACACGGGGGAAGGGCACAGTCTGGCTGGGCATTCAGAGGAAGACCCAAGGCCACCTATTCATCCTAGGCACGCAGGGAGGAATGGAGAAGGGAGCAACATGGCTTACGGGGGAGAAAAAGGCCCTGATCCCTTTCATTAGTTGCAACTGGGAGAACAGGATATAAGAAGGGCGTTTGCATACAGCACCTTGCTAGAAGCAAAGCGTGCATTATCTTTGTCGAGGCTTATCTCCCAAGTGTGGGTGCTGCGTTATCCTTTGGAAGTCTGCAATTTATCATGCTGGCCTGCAGTGTTAATTACTTCAATGTGGTTTGTGTTGGGTTTTTTTATTTCTAATTTATCTCTACTTTGGGTTCGGACTGTAGACTGTTTTTGGAAGAGTTTGATCTCCAACCGAGCATAATTGGACATTGGAGGCCAAGTTGGAGGCATTAAAGGGAATTTATCTATTTTTGTGACTTTGTTATTTTTGTGCCACGTCCCCGGGTCATCACAATACGGGTATTTCCATTGCTAAGTGAGATTTGTGAAATGAATTTGCCTCATTTTATGACCTTGCTTGCTTGCGGTTGTCTAGCGAATCACTTATCATCGTTAAGTGAGTAACATGGTTGTTAAGTGAATCTGGCTTCCCCATTGACTTCCCAAAAGGGGATCACGTGATATACACCCCCGCCCCCAGGAAACCGCAACCATCATAAATGTGTGAGTCAGTTGCCACGCAGCCGTATTTTGATTACGTGACCACGGGGAGGCGGCAAATGGTTGTAAAATCAGTCCTGTCCATTTTTGCCAGCGTAAATTGTAAATTCGAGCAGTTGCTAAATTTTGAGTGGATGTAAGTTGAGTATTCACCCCTTTCGGTAGCCTAGTCCTGTGAGTGGCTTTTGACCATAGGCAGTCCTCAACTTACGACTGCAGTTGGGACCAGAATTGCTTTGGCTAAGCAGGATGGTTGTTAAGCGAGTCGCGCCCAATTTTGCAACCATTTTTTAACGACAAGAAAAGTTGTCAAATGGGGCAAAATCCCATTGAAATGTCTCCCTACTTGTTGGAAGAATTATCCTTCTGGGTTCAGTTCTAAGTGGGGAAGAAAGACACTGGAAACATGGTGACTGCTTAGAAAGATGGTTTAATGGTGGACAGGATCACATGCCTTGGGTGAAGACAGAAGAAAAGGGCTGAGACGCTGAGTTTGCCTGGGTTTTATACCCTCTGTTGGGATTTGAATTTGAGCTTGTATTCTGATTGGTTGTCAGACTCCCATGAGGCCATGCAGGGGCAACTCTGTAGGCTGTCCTAAGTCCCCAGGCTTGGTTGAGCCTTGCTGGATGATGATGTCATGAAAGGGCTTTGGGCAATTCCTATTATAGCTCTACCTGGAGTAGATCTTTGTTATGTAAAATAGACTGGCCCAGGCCAAAACAATGGTCCATTAGCAAAGGTGAGGGGTATGTTTCTGCCTCTCTTTGAGTTTCTACTTTTCTTTTTAGGGGAAATATTCTGCCTTTTTAATATTTCCTAGGATGTATCATTTTTCTAGGAGAGGGCTAGGTGCTAACTTCCTACATTAGCGACAGGAATTTTGGGCTCCCTTGTCTTAAATCGAGGATTACCAATAAGCGGTCAGAGTCAGGCCTAACATCCTTGCCAGGTGTGTTCCTAGATACTCCTTAGAACTGTCCTGTTGACCCCCATCCTAGAACTTTCTGGCTGTCACAACCCTCCCTGCTTCGTTGCAATTTTGGATTCTGTGAGCCTGCTCTCTCTTTGCAGACCGCTACGTCGTGATCGGAGCTCAGCGCGATGCCTGGGAAAACGGAACGGTGAAATCTGCAGTCGGGACGGCCCTGTTGTTGGAGCTGGCCCACACCATCTCCGGGATGGTCAAAACCGGTAAGGTTTTTGGGGGAAATGGGGAACAAGAGGAGGAGACAGTCTGCTGTTTCGGAGGAAGGGGGGGCCTGAACTGAACGGGATCGCTGATTTCTCTCTCCTGTGCTTGGCAGATGGCTACAAACCTCACCGAAGCATCATCTTTGCCAGCTGGAGCGCAGGCGAATTTGGAGCCATTGGTGCCACAGAATGGCTAGAGGTAGGAGCTGGGTTTTTTTTAAAAAAAAATTAAAACACTTCCGTGCTACAGAGCCAATAGAATAGAATAGAAATAGAACAGAATAGAATAGAATAGAATATAGAATAGAATATAGAATAGAAAATAGAATAGAATAGAATAGAATAGAATAGAATAGAATAGAATTCTTTATTGGCCAAGTGTGATTGGACACACAAGGAATTTGTCTTGGTGCAAATGCTCTCAGTGTACATAAAAGAAGAGAGACATTTGTCAAGAATCATCAGTTACAACACTTAATAATAATCACAGGGTACAATAAGCAATCAAATCATACTAGGAAACAGTCCATATAAAACATAAGGATACAAGTGACAAAGTTACAGTCATACAGTCACAAGTGGGAGGGGATGGGTGATAAGGAGGGATGTACAGGTATCGGATGTGATTCTGCCTAGCTTCACCTGCTACTTCCTGTCTGTTAGGAAGCTTATGATCCACTTACAAGTGTGTTCAGGTACCGCTAGCTGGTTTAGTTTAGTTAGAAGAAAGTCTGGAATGATGGTATTGAATGCTGAGCAGAAGTCTACAAAGAGGACCCTTGCGTAGGTATTTGGAGATTCAAGGTGTTGTAGGATGGAGTGCAGAGAGATATTTTTTTTTGTACGATTTTTGCACTCACAAACTTCAGAAATGCTTCCGGGTTGAAAGGATTAGCCGGTGACACTGTTCCTTGGGACGCCTTTCCTATCCCTGGCAGGAGCTGGAGTGAAGGACGAGAACTCGACCCAGGGTCTCGAACTTGGCTTGATAACCTCCTTTCCAGCCCTCCCAACCGCTCGAGTCCCCGTGCTGCTCTTTTGAGAGAGAGGAGCGGCTGTATAAAATTGAGTCGATGAAATAAATAAATTTAACTCGCAGAACAGTTTACAAATCCCACTTTTTCTTTTTTCTTAAACCCCCAGGGCTACGCCGCCTCGCTGCACTTGAAAGCGTTCGCTTACATCAACCTGGACGCTGCCGTTTCAGGTACGTGTCTGTGACGCTCCGTGAAGGTTTGAATGATGGCTTAGAAAGCAAGGACGGAGAAGTGGCAGGAAGTGCTTTGTCTTTTTGTGTAAGGAGTAGGCCTGGATACCTAGCTGTCTGGTACCCAGGAGCAGCGTTAGGCCTGCCAGCCTATTTCTTCCTACTCTCTAAAACGGGTCTCCAAACCTTGGCAATTTTAAGACTTGTGGACTTCAACTCCCAGATTTCCTCAGCCAGCCGTGTCTGTTTCTTTTTTTTTTTTTCTTACTCTTATTCCCCCAAAGAGGAGAGATTGCAGAGGAAGGGATTATAAGGGTAGTAAGCTTTGCTGGCTGAGGAACTCTTGGAGTTGAAGTCCACAACTCTTAAAGTTGCCAAGGTTATAGAGATTCCCTTCCTGTCCTAACTTCAGCCTTTAGATTATTTTAATTGAGGAAACGACTAGCATAACATTTGCTCGCATGCCTCTGAGCCTTGCCCAGACCCCTGCGATGTGCAAGGGAACATTGGAAGATTTGTGTTTGTTTGTTTGCTTGTATCTCAGTTTTGTTAATTTATAAGTAACTCAAGGTAGCAAACCACAACAACCTGGCTCTCCAGTCTGAAATCGGCCAACCTTTTTCGTATGCCGCCCGGTAGCTCCCAGCCTCTTGACCTCAAGCATCTTCTTTCCATCTCACAGGATACAAGGAATTCCGGTTCTCTTCCAGCCCCTTGTTGAAAAAGCTCCTGGAGGAAGCAGTCACAGATGTGAGTCGTCCTTGCCCACTTGGGGGTTTTCTGAGAAAAATAATAAGGCAGCTCTGGTCTCTCTCCTTGCAGGAGAAAGAAAGAAAGAAAGATTAACCTTGGATTTCTCTACATTTATTTATTTGATTTGTCTGGGTGTATCCTGCCTTGACTAACTTTATTTTATAAAAGCCCAAGGCAGGGAATGTATCTAATGTTTCTTATTCTACCATAGCAATCTTGTGAGGTGGGTTGGGCTGAGAGACAGGGACTGGCCCAAAGTCACCCACCTGGCTTTCCTGCCTAAGGTGAGACTAGAATTCACGTTGATCTTTAAAGCCTCAGTTGGCTTTTATAACTAACATGGAACTAGAACTCACGGTCTCCTGGTGAC